ATTTCCAAATAATCCTATAAGATTTACAAATCCTTAGTATTTTATACGGTTAGAAAAGGATAAGTGTTCTTAAAATTACATATGGGATTCGAATTATAAATTTATAACGCAATATAATTCTTATAAAATTTGAGAGCTCAACATTTTAATTTTTTTCCATATGTGTGTGTAAGCTAAACCATGTGTTGTAAATTAGATCGTAATAACTAATTAAATTCGTCAAACGTAGAAAAGTAATGATAAAGGATTCTTGGTGTAAAGCTATTTACATGTATTTAGCATATATCTCGTGCTGCTTTCAATATCTCTTTTTAAAGTGCGTGATGTTTTCTCTCTTGACCAAACTGCACGTAGTTGAAGAATGTTTTTATAGTTTTTTTTTGTCAGTAACAAATTCATTAAAACGGTTTAGGAATCGAAACCGATGGAATATAGATTATATATGAATGCTCTCAGGACCGTGCCCACCTAAGAAATTTTGAGGCATAGACCTTAGAGCATGATTACTCATGATACAACGAGTATCACAAAAAAAGAATTGAATAAAAAAATTAATTAAAAAAGACATATTCGCGTGAAACGTATCAATAGAGTGAAACGGATGAAACGTATCATAAGCCATGTGGCAGACTAAATTATTAAATTAATGTTGATGATACTTCATGGTATCACGGATACTCATGCTCTTAGAGTTCCTTTGATATTACCAAATTTTGGGGTCCCAAATTTTTAAAAAATAGTAAATTATATATATTTTTTATAGTAATTTTAGTTTGATATTATTATCTTCACTAACTTTGAATTTCAAAAATCTTTTAACACTACTTGTGGAGTCCCAAATTATTTTTTTTTGTCTTAAACCTCCTAAACTCTAGAAACGAGCCTGAATGCTCTTATAGTCTCTTCTCTTCTTTATGCGGAATTGAGTAAAAACCGAACGTCCACTGGACCGTACAAAAACTGCTTGATTCGTTTATTGGAGTCAGGCCCATAGAAATCAGACCTAGTCATCAAATAAACATGATTGAAAAACCAGTTAATCATTCATTTTTGATACATTAAACATTTTTTTGTAACAAAGCTAATCAAAAAATTAATTTTAGACCTAACACCAAAAAACGATTAATCACAAACAAAGATGCTTGA